GGATTTTTCACCAGAACAAGCTAAAGCATGTTTTTCCTCTATCACATTAGTAATGCAAAAGAAAAGGTCACAGATATAATGGGTTATTAAAAAACATCTGATGTGGCAACTGTGGCAATTCATTCAATTAGACTCCCTGGTGTGTGAAAAAACAAAGTTAATTGTGAAATTTCTAGCAAAAATTCATAATCTTCTGCCAAAACAAATGATAGACTTCCATATGATAAAATTTTGTAGCCATACATCATTTTCACTGTTTAACATTTATGCATAATTGTCATCTGGAGCTAGATCCATTATACACTACTCATTCTAAGCAAAAACAAGACAATAAAGTTGACCACAAAAATGCCCTAACTTTAAATTATTTGAATTTGTAACTGATGTTTTTAAGAACTAAGATGGATCTTGCAGATCAAACTACTGGAGGATTGGAAATGAAGGAAATAGAATAACTTCTTACTATGTTATTCCCTCTACTAGCAGTTATCCCTGTCCATGTCACAGGTGTTAGAACTAGATGATCTTTACAGATCCTTCCAACCCAAACCATTATATGACTTTGTGACACATTGTTATGAAACCTCCTGTTTGTCTCTTTTTCATAGAAAGCAAATTTTCTTTTTTCTTAGGGTTTTCTCATGATATGCATCAAATGAGAATGGAGCAAACAGAGGCAGAATGACAGGGTAAAAAGAAGTGGTGGGAATATTCAGCATTTTCCGAAAAATCCAATAGGTATTTATCAAGAGCATTAACAAAAAGAGGATGAGAAAAAGACCAGAGGCATTATTCAGAAGTAAACATGACTAATCATTGCACCGCTGAATTTCTGTCTACAATCTACCACTGAGATCTATGAAGGAAGCCTGGACTTGCCTCTGGGAGAGCATTTAGTGGTAGCAGATTCAAAAAAGCTGCTGACAAGAGTCTATCAACTTCTTAGATACTGACGTTTGGACAAACTTTGATAGTGCAACAGTTGGTAGAAAAAAATCTCCTTCAAACTGGGTTGGTGGGCAGTACTAACACCAGGGAGCAGACATGATTGCAGTGCTTTTGATTTCCGCAACTGCAGAAGTGCTGATGCTAGAAAGAAAAAAAAGCACATTATTCTGCCTGGTATACAAGAGGAACATCACAGAATTGCAAGCAGGATAATCTCTTGTAGAGTGAGCCAAATTCTGACATATAAGAAGATGACAGAGTGCCCAGATAAAGTGCCCAGAAAGACCACATTTCAGAGCAGATGTTTACTTCTTGTTCTCTAGGAAACAGAGTCCAAAACAATTCATACATAGTTCACAGCAACAGAAATAAGCACTGGTATGATCTCAGGATTTGGTTTTCCTTTTAACTAGAACCCTCGATTTCAGATAAAAAGTTGGCTCCTAGTAAAATTCCAATACTCCAAAGCTCACAAAAAAGTCACGGGGCAGTAAATAAAAATTTAAAAATAAATACAGGAATAAAGGAAAAACCAATCTATAAGTTCGCTTGGAGCATGCAAGTTGCACTGATAAATAGCAAAGGCCAATAGACAGACATGTAAAAAGGTGGGTGAGTCCAGAATTTTGAGTATTCATAACTTCCATCAGAGGAAGTACAGAAAAACACTTTAGCAGTCTCAGAAAAACAAGGAGCCTCAACATGAGCTTCAGTTTACATTATGCCCCACAGACGCATTTTCTGCAATCTTTATATAGATCAGGATTGAATATGATCTGTCTACAGTCTTTCAGATAAGACAATCTCATGCATCTCTAAGCAACTAAAATTATGAAAAAAGAACAAATAAAAGACCTAATGTGAAGTTATCAAGACATTGTTTCTCTCTCCTCAACTGTGAAGCGCTCAAAAATATAACTCATAATCTACTTTTGCAATTTATTAAATCCCACACTTTGAATCAGTACCCTTGCAGTGATAATTCACATGTTTTTACCAAATGAGCATCTCCTACATACAAACAGCCCAGGTTGGATCTCATCTTCTGCAAACACAATGGACATTCACCAAGTTACGCAGCTGGCATCAGACAACACTGCTGTGTTAAGTTAGCTGAGATTTCATCTACATCTATCTCCCTCACGTAAAATGCCTTCAAAAGCAAAAAACAACCAAACAAAAAACAACCTAATTTGACAGCATTCCCAAAAGTACTTCCACAGCTAAGTGGCATTTTACACAAGCACCCATATACAGAGAGGATCTCAACTGAAAAAAAAAATGCACTGATGCACAAAAAAAGCGATAGAATTACGAGTAAAAACACGACATTCTCCATCCTCCAAAACAGTGGGTTGATTTCTGGAAAGTAATTCACAGAAGAGATTAAAAAATAAAACCATAATAAAAAAATTACCAGAAAGCAAGATAGGTCCCTTTAGAAATAGATTAAAGCTGAATAACTGAAATTGTTCAATAATTAAAAAAAAAAAGCCTACTGGAACAAAACCAAAAGACCATTAGAAGAGACCCTAAGTGACCCTAACTACTCTCTTCTAAACAAAGGACCATTCAATACAACTAAGATACAAAATACTGAACTCTCCTCTTTTCAGTACTCACAGTTACACTGAGGCTTGGGGTGGAATTGTGATTAAAATTGAGGTAAGACTGGAAATAAATTTAACATTTAATTGTGTTTAAAAAAAAATCTTACAGTGAATTTATAGTTTTTTGTCTAATAAAAAGATGTAAAACTCCTCAGCAGACAAAAGCCAAAGTAACTGCTAGTGCTAGAAAGAAAATTCTCAACAGGAAAATATTCTTTATCTGTCCATTCATCCAATACTACTGTCTATTATTAAAGATAAAGAGCTAGTCTCTGACTTAAGAATTCCAATTCCTCTCTTCCTGACTGCTACTTAAAATTAAAATGTCATTCAAAGCATGCTAATGATGCAGAAGTTTTCATAATGAGAAGTACTAATAATATCACCATGTAGCATGCAACCTATACTGCTTATTCTTGTACTGCTTCTAACTACAGAGCTGTGCTCTGTATTTTGATTCTTTAAATACATAAGTTTTTCAGGTATCACACCTGCTTTCACAAATGAGATTCCATGCAAAAAGACAATCAGTCCTGTATCTGCTTTTCCTGAACTATCACAAACGTCTCAGCATTCAGGAGGTACTTGCTGAACAAGTTTAAACACAATACATTAATTTTTTTTTTATACAAAATAACTCAGTTTAAAGAATACTAATTACTGCATTATATAATCCCACTTTTGCCCCTCGTTTTCTCACACTTTTTTAAATTAATGCTTTAATTTTCTATGATTTTCTTTTTTTTAAAATTGAGAATCTGTTTTGGTATCCAAGTTTAGTCAAGAAAAACATTTGATGATTACATTTGGCACCATGCTACTTTTCAAAAAAGATAGAAGTGAAATACCAATCAATGCAAGTCTAATCTTACCATTAGAAACAGCCACATGGCTCTAAACAGAGAATGTTTCCTTAAGCATACTAACACTTATACTTAAGAAACATGCAAAATTCTAACTGTGTAAAGTTGAAATGCTTCAAAATATTTAATATTATTTTCTCTCAACATTAGTACAAGTCACAGCAGGAGTAACTCCAGCATGCCAGATCACGCTTCCATCCCATAAAAAGAAACCTCATAAAGTCATTGTTGTTATTCTTATGGGATGCTCTGCTGAAACAGTTACACAGAAGCAGTCATGGGTACACAGCATTAAAACGTTCACTATTTCATACTGTAGCCAGTAATCAGCCACTGCTTCCTTAGCTGGACAGTAAGTTGTAGATCTGTATTTCCTCCAGCACAGCATAAGAAGCGGATAAGGCACCATTAAAGAAATACCTCCTACTGGTTGCAGGTGAGAATGCTAAAGCATTAAAAGACATAACAGTGATTCAAACTTCTGATTCAATACTCAACATTTCAAGCAGAGCAATTTACGACGGTACACCGTCTAATTTTTTCATTACATTTTCAGCACCATGGACAAATACACTACAGGCAGGACAGCCTTGAAAGAGGCGCTCAGAGCCATGTTTAAAAGTCTTGAAAGCTCCTCATGCAGATTTAACTACAGAAAAAAAGTGGCCGTTACAGCCAAGTTTTCCAATGCAGATAAAGCAATGGATGAAAGACACAACGTGTGCTCTGCTCTCTGCACTCCTTACCTGTTACTCATGAGTAACACATACAGAAGACATGAATCGGAGCACTAACTATCAAAAAACACCCAAATGTGCTCTAAATGACAAAACTGGTTGCAGCTCTTACCCAAAAAGGAAAAGCCATGATATGGGAATTTAAAATCCATCCGCAATGACACCTACTGGAGAGGGCTGATGACTCAGACTCACATCTGCCCTTCACACTCCTCACGCTCTCTCACCGATCTCACAGCACTACCAAGCACACAAAAGCACCCCTGGGCGAAAGCACACTTAAGAAACAGCAGCAGCGGATTTCCCCTCCAGCATTAGCTTTCAGTTACATATTTTTATGAACTTCAGCACACTGTAACTCTGACTGCAAGAGAATTCCCGATCTGTACAAGCCTCGATTCTGCAGGGAAGGCTGCTCTCTGTCTCGAGATTACCCCAAAAGTTGCACGAGTTGCAGGCAGGCCGCTAATCCCGCAGGCATCCACCGCCTGCCAGCAGCGAGCCAGCGGTCCGCTGCCGCAGATTAACCTCCCCCACAGCGCGCGGCGGGGAGCGCACGAGGCTTCCGCTTCTCCTCCCGCCGGCACCCAGCGGGGCCCTCCCGACGCCCGGTGGCCCGCACAACTTTTGGTCCGGCTCCGGGACGCAGCGAGGCACGACCCGGGTCCGCGAGCCGCCGCCAGGCAGTGCCCGCCGAGCGCCGGGGCAGCGCCTCGCCGCGCCGCCCGTCCTTCAGCCGCCTCCATCCGCGCTCCGACGGACGCGGGAGGAGACGGGCGAGGGAGGACGCGCGGAGCCACGGGGCAGCCGGAGGATGGGGCCGGCGCCCGCGGCGGCGGTACCTGATGATGTCGTCCTGGTGCCCCAGGTAGAATTTCTGCCGGTGCTCCCGGGGGCTGTAGACCACGCCGACCCCAGCCACGAAGTAGACGATCTCCTTGGCGGCCGTGTAGTACAGGTTGTTGCGGCACTGGTGACCCCGGTAACCGTAGACCCACTCCAGCCGCAGGTGGCAGCTCGGCGCGCTCCGGTCAGCCATGTCCTCCCGCCCCCGCCAACCAGGTACGGCTCTCTCCCGCCGGAGACCCCGTGGGAAGGGGGAGACGGCTCGGTCGGCCGCCCCCTCCTCTCGGCTCGCCGTCCGCCGCGCTAATCCCTGCCCGCCGACATGAATGCCCGCCACCGCCGCTCTCCGCCGCCGCCGCCTCACAGAGGGCGCCGCCGACCGAGCCCGCCTCGCCGCCTCGCGCCGCCAGACATGGCTGCACTGAGACACCGCCCGGGACGCGGAGCGAGGGCGCGGCGCGTCGCCGCTCCGGCCCCCCCTCCTTCCCCGCGTCCCGGCCTGCGCCTGCGCCGTAGGCAGCGCCGTCAGGCGGCCGGGCGGCCTGCGCGGCAGGAGGTGGGAATAGGCGCGCAGTGTTGCGGGGAAGCGGCGGAGGTGGCGCGCTGAGCGGCTACCAGGGCGAAGGGAAGGAAACGACTCGCTATCGCACCTTCTTGGCTCACGTCTTTGCTGAGCTGTTACGTCCAGCTTTTCGTCTCTGTTGGCTGGGCTCTGTCTTCCCCCACTCCTCAACTGGATTTTGGCTTTTCACTGCTGTCCCGAACGTCCTAGCGCCTTGCTTTCCCTGCAAACCCACCGACCCCCAGCTGTCACCAGTCGCCTCACGTTGTCACTGCTTGCACCCCACGGTGCCTGAGTCTCATCCAAGAAGAAAAGGTCAACTGTAATTTTTAATGACTGGTAATTAACACCACTGTCTGCATCACGTACCTCACAACAGTTATTCCCTCATCTGTGCCTTAATTTCCTCATCTATGCAATAAGAGCACTCTCACCCGCAGATCCCAAAGCCACCAGAAAGTTGCTATTTTTTTAGAATCACAGATTCGTTTGAGTTGGAAGTGACACTTAGAGGCCATCTAGTTCAATTCCCCTGCAATGCACAGGGACACCAATACATCAGGTTGCTCAGAGCCTTGTCCAGCCTGACCTTGAACATCTCCAAGGATGTGGAATCCACCACATCTCTGGGCAATCTGAGCCTCATCACTCTTACCATAAACACACACATATATATATATATATATATATTTTTTTTTTTCCTTATATCAAATCTTTCACACAGAAAGTTATCATTTCCCTACATTACAGATGGGAGTGACTGCTCTGTGTTGGAGAAGACATCCATATAGGGGAGCCTCTCACCATATCCAAAATTTTGGTTCAGAGAACATGCTCCTTCTTCACATTGGAGACATTCTTCTGTGCTCCTCTATTTCTATTTTAATCAATGGAAGTTTTTTTTGTTTTTTTTGTTTTTTTCCTTTTAAGCCTTTCCTGAGAATTTAATATTCCTTTAGTTTTTTTTTTAAAAGGCATGTAAGAATATGCATTTAAGCATCCCAGACACTTAGCTTTATGTCAACATGTTCTCACAGTCTAGAACACCAAGAGACAGTATTTATCTCAAGCACTGACAATAAGGATTATGACACCAGGATCAGATGCAGCTTTCAGTCCCACATGTTCACTGAAGTCAACACAAAGCAAGTAACAGAAGTCTGCAGAGAGATTCATGCAGCCTGACTCAAGTATACAGACAAGGAAACTCCCTTTTTGATGAATTTTTTTTTTTTTTTTTTTTTGAAAGAGAGAAAGAAATCATGACAAAATGTCCTATATATTCACCATCAGATAAAGCAAATGTTACATCCATGAAAGTCAAAAGCATTCCTGCTCCCTAATATTTTCATCCTAGACAGACAGAGCACCTTGGAATTGCATTGTTCCCCCTATAATTCCACAGAATATTTTGAATATTGATACACATTTAGTGAAATTTCTGGTAGGATTTTTTAGCAAAATATAAGAAATTACAACTGTAAGACTAATTCATTTATAAGCTGACAGATGATAAAGTAAATTTGAAAAATACTGAACATACACAGTGACTGAAATAACCTGTTACAAGCTTTGGATGTTAATTGGTTTGATGATCAGCAGACAAAAGCATTTGTTACATATTTGACTTCCTCACTTGAAAGTGGAACTATTTTCATGCTTTGAATAGAGAATATATTAATTTTTTCTTTACTGCAGATTTATTGGATATTTAAACATGAATGGGTAAAAATGCATAATTGTCTCTGTGCTTGCAGCTACTGTATATAAACATACACTTTTGTCAGGTTATTACTTGAAGTGAAATTCTGGATCTCTTGAGTTCAATACTAATTTGTGTGGTATTAATTTAATGGAACTAAAATTCTAATCTGTATGTCTTATTCATAATTCAAATTGGAACGAGATTATTTCATTATGTAGTGATAGTGAAAAGGCTGTTTTCAGCCACGCATTCAAAAAACACTGTTACTGACTAAAACTGACAAGAAAAAATAGTGATGAGGAAGAAACTTTAATATGCAATGACATTGGTACTAACTGTAAGTTTTGGGTCCTATTTCTTCTGACTACTAGAACACAAAAGTGAAGTTGGAAAAAATATGCTTATGCAATGCAAGGGAGCAACTGCATGTCAACACCACATAAACAGCCAATATTTCCATTTGATTATTCCGGAATTGACTACTGTCTCTCAGATAAGGAAATGCCTGAGAGAAAATTCCAAGAGAAAAACTATTTGTAGGCATAGTTAGCTAACTTACATCTACACATAAGGGGTGCAAGGGAAATTTTATGCATTTGGCACCTGTTTTTGCCAGGAGCATCACAACAACTTCTTCTCTCATACCTTGCCTACTACTCCCACTCACCTCTGACACACACAGCTCCTCCGGCATCTACCAGCCAGCCACCTTTCACCAACACAGCAGTCTCAGGAACGAGCATCTTCTATCAGCGCTGTGCTCTTTACATCACACGTGTCCCGCAGGTCGCTGTCACGCACCTCTCTCCATTCCCTCTCTGCACTATGCAGTCTCAGCCACCTCCGGTCACGCTCAGGGGCCGGCGCGGAGCTGTCCGTGGTGCTGAGCTCGACGCCTGGGTTCCAAAGCGGCCTGGTCGTACTGAGGGAACACACGAGTTTAGGTGATAGGCTGGGATATGAGCAAGCTTTCAGGTAACTGAGATATTTGATGCGCTTCCCAAAGAGTTGTTGTTTTGTTGTTGTTGTTGTTGTTTTTTTAATAAGGGAAACGAAGTGCTTTGCCTCAGCTGCCTATGACAGGTTTTATATCTTTTATATGATGTCAGATAAATCACTGCAAATTAAGTTGTGTTAGCATACAGTGACACAAGTGCATTACTTCTCTAAATAGAATCAAATAAGTGACATTTTAATGTCTCAAAACACATAATTATAACATGCACTTCCTAGTATACTGTAAATATATTTACTAAATGCATCTTGTTCCACTAAATGGAACAAGGCTTAAAGAAGTAATTTCTTAAACAAATGCTCTTGGAACAGCTAATTCCAGAGTACAAGATGAGGGATTATTCTCTGTTAAGCCCTAAGTAATACAGAGTAGCTGGTTCAAGTAGTAATTATAAAATATGAGACAGATGAGCATCAGTGACAACATTAATTTCAACATCCTTGCAGATACAATGGTCTCAGTCTGTTATGGGAACACAATGTCTGAAAATAAGATTTATCAAAACTAAGTAACCTATTTAAGAGAGAAAGTGCTTAAGGACTGTCAGGAGATCCACCTGCTACCATTTAATAGCACTGAGGCATGAGCTAAACAAAAGCCTGTTTACTACTGGATAAAAGTAAGAAGGCAAAAAAAACAAGCAAACAAACAAACAAAAAAAAACAGCATGGCAAAGTTTGAAACATTAGCTAACTCCTTCAGAAAATGAGAAAACTGATAAGAATATATATCACATCAGCCAATACATAAGATGCAAGTTGTTATGGAATTCTAAAGGACTAAGCTATTAGTCCTTTAACAAAAGACGTAAAATTATTATTATTTTTTTTAACTAGAGGCAGGAAGCCTTGAAAATGATCGATAGGTCTACATCATCATCAAGTAGAAAATCAACCAATTAAGAATATGAAAATGGTGCAGAAAAACAGTTACTGATTTCTTCACCTCTCTTCTCAACACAGAAAATTCTAGGAAATACAAGCTGGGAATAAATACAAGAAAAAGTCACAGATGGAGATGTTAGGTCAAGGTGCTGGAAAATAAAGAGCAGCAAGTCATGAATGCATTATGTTGTATCTTGAAAAAATTCAATATGTTTTAGCTGACATGCTCTGATCAGCCCCTTAAAACCCTTAAAATGTCTTATGTTGAAGCAGTATCTAACACTGTTACTGTTTTATAAGCAGGTTCTATAAACTTGGTAACTGTAAATCTACATGCTTTCTTTTGGTACTGATGGACACAACAGATACAAGGGTTGGAATGTAAAGAGAACAATTACACATGTATGAAAGTAATTGTTATTTACATTATTTTTTCTTGCTTCTGCAATGATAAATTGCACTTTGATAATCATAGAAATTTTGCTCATTTAGTAAACGTTCATTCTGGGCACTGGAAGAAATAAGCATCCCATTGAGAAGACAATGAGCGTGTAATTATCACAATACAGATATCAATCAGAGCTTCAGAGCTTCATTATGGATTTATTCACAGAACTTTGATTTAGAAATATACTCAATATTTTCCTAACAGAGGGCAGGTAAAGGGATAGACAAGATACAAACATTGAAATTAAATTAATCCATCATTAGCATAGAAGGCAACAACTTATTCTGGACATTCTACAACAGAAATAAAGAGGTTTATGAAAGGAAGTGACACAAATACAGTAACAATCAGTAAACAATACCACCCAAAACTGTGGAGGAAGCATGATTGTTGAAAACTACATACTGGCTTCCTTAGCCTTGACAAGATCTTGTTCTAAGGCCTCTCTCATAAGCCAAATATTAATTCCTCTCCTACTAAGACTAGGAGAAAAAGGTTTCTACAGTGATGTAAATGGCACAAGTCTCATCCATCACAACTCATGGTGGGTTTTTTTGTTTGTTTGTTTTTAAATAAATGCAAAAGAACTTTTACATTTAGTTAAAGAATTTGTTTTTTTAGTAATATGATGTTTAATGTTAGCCTCAGCAGTTAGGCACCAATATTTGTATTCCTTCTTAAAATGTCTATCACAAACTTTAAAAATTTGCTCTAAAATTCATATTAGCACATGGGAACAGCTCATCAAAAGTTCATCAAAAG